AGCTGAGGAGGATGTCGGTGGGCCGGGAGCACCGGGGCCGAGGGTTGGCCCAGGCGCTGTGCCGGGAGGTGCTGGCCTTCGCCCGCGCCCGCGGTTACGGCGCCGTGGTGCTCAGCACCTCCGTGGTGCAGGTGGCGGCGCAGCGGCTCTACGAGGGCGTGGGGTTCCGTAGGGTGGGCGCTTCCTACCCCTCGCTGCTGGGCACCTTGCTGAACTTCCAGGTCCTGCGCTACCGCCACGATTTGGGGGACGGCGCCAAGTAGGGCCCGAGCGGCGCCTGGAACGGGCGGTGCCGCCCCGGGAGGAACCCCAAAACTGGCACAGGAGGTGTTGTCCTGGATGAAACCCCAAAACTGGCACAGAAGGTGTTGTCCTGGATGAAACCCCAAAACTGGCACAGAAGGTGTTGTCCTGGATGAAACCCCAAACCTGGCACAGGAGGTGTTGTCCTGGATGAAACCCCAAAACTGGCACACGAGGTGTTATTCTGTGAGAAACTCCAAACCTGACACACAAGGTGTTGCCCTGGGAGAAACCCCAAACCTGTTGCTCCAGGACAAACCCCAAATCTGTTGTCCTGGGACAAACCCCAAACCTGGCACAGGAGGCGTTGTCCTGGGAGAAACCCCAAACCTGTTGCTCCAGGACAAACCCCAAATCTGTTGTCCTGGGACAAACCCCAAACCTGGCACAGGAGGTGTTGCTCCGGGACAAACCCCAAACGTGGCACACGAGGTGTTATTCTGTGAGAAACTCCAAACCTGGCACATACGGTGCTGCCCAAGAGAAACTCCAAACCTGGTACACGAGGTGTTGCTCCGGGACAAGCCCCAAACCTGGCACACAAGGTGTTGTTCCAGGAGAAACCCCAAACCTGTTGTCCCGGGACAAACCCCAAACCTGGCACACGAGGTGTTGTCCCGGGACAAACCCCAAACCTGGCACAGGAGGCGTTTCCCCAGCCCCGTGAGGCCGGGACTTGAGGCGCTGCCGTGGCCCCAAAACCCAGCCCCGGGCGCCAGGCATCACCCCAGCCTCAAACACAGAAATTAACAACTAGGAATGGCCTATAAAGAAATGCTTTGAGTAGAAAAGGGGCTACAAAACTCGTGTGAAGAGCTGAGTGCTCCCGTAAGGGCAGGAGGAGAATAAAGACTGAAGATAAGGAGTGAAATGAAATATGTAAATTGGGCGCAGGATGAGGGGGTTCCTTCGATTCTTTGTGGATTCTTTGGATTCCTACTAATTTTAATAGGAAACAGGGACAAGCAGGGTTAGCAAATGAATATGTATTAGGCATATGGTGTAACCCTAGTCTGTAGAGAATAAAAAAAGGGAGAAAGGAGTCTCCGAGGTGTGCGTGCCTCAGGAGGAATGATCCCTCAGCGCTGAATAAATTCATACCTGCTCTCATAACTGCTCCGCCGCTTCTGGAGTTTAACATCCGCGTGTCAGCGCCTTGGGGGAACGGGGGCCATCTTATGGACACCTTGGGGAAAAGAGGCAATTGGGAACACACTCGGGGACTACGGAGATTTTGGGGGAGAGGGGAAATCTTTTGGGGACAGGCGACACTTTGGGGGACAAGGCCTGTGCCCTCACCCAAGATGGCGGCGGTTCCGCCTTCCTCCTTCCCTCACCAAGATGGCGGCGGTTCCACCTTCCTCCTTCCCTCACCCAAGATGGCGGCGGTTCCGCCTTTCCCTCTGCCCTCACCCAAGATGGCGGCGGTTCTGCCTTCCTCCTGCCCTCACTCAAGATGGCGGCGGTTCCCCATTCACTTGCCCGTGCCCTTACCCAAGATGGCGCCGCCCAGGCCAGCGTCAGGACGTGACGTACACAGCGTAGCGCCGTGAGGGAAGCGCCGTGAAGGAAGCGCCGTGAGGGAAGCGCCGTGAGGGAAGCGCCGTGAGGGAAGCGCCGTGAGGGAAGAGCTGGGACCGCCGGGTCCGCCGGGTCCCGATCCCGGTTTCGGTCCCGGTTCTCCTCTCCCCATCCCGGTTCCCCCGTCCCGGCCGCGCCATGGATTGTTACACGGCCAACTGGAACCCGCTGGGCGAGGAGACCTTCTACCGGTGAGGGGCAGCGCGGGGGTCCCGGCTGTGTTTGGGGGGGGTCCCGGAGATGGCCGGGGCGGGGTTCGGGGCCTGGGCCGGGGTCTGTGGGGCCGCCTGGGGGTCCCGGGGGTCCTCACGAGTCTTGGGGGTCCCGGGGATGGCTGAAGGGTCCCGGGGTGTCTGTGGGGTTTTGAGGTTTCCCGGAGGGGTCTCGTGGATGTTTGGGCTGGCTGGGAAAGGGGTCCCGGGCATGGCTGGGGGGTCCCAGGGGGTGTCTTAGGGTGGAGGAGGCTCCTGTGGGGCGCTGGAGGGTCCCGAGGTGGGAGCGGCTCCTCGGGGTGGTCTGGGGCGTTCCTGGGGGTCTCTGGGGTTCCCAGGGGGGATTCGAGGAGCCTGGGATATGTTGGGGTGTCCCTGGGCTGGTTTGGGGATGGGCACCATCTGTGGTTCCTCCATCCCTGCGCCTGCTGATTGTCTGTCTGTCCATCCATCATCCATCATCATCATCCATCATCCATCCATCCATCCATCCATCCATCATCCATCCATCATCCATCCATCCATCATCCATCCATCATCCATCCATCATCCATCCATCATCCATCCATCCATCATCCATCATCCTTCCATCATCCATCCATCCATCATCCATCATCCATCATCCATCCATCATCATCCATCCATCCATCCATCCATCATCCATCCATCATCATCCATCATCCATCCCATCCTGTCTCTGCAGGAAGCTGGAGCTCTACTCCATGGAATGGGGGCTGCGGGAGGACCTGCGTGACTGCGTGGTGGCAGCTGCCCCCTATGGGGGTCCCATAGGTGGGTGCAGCCCCCCCGGACCCCGCCCCCATCCGGGGCTGTGCAGGTGACAGCGCCAGGAATGTCCCCTCCTTCTCCCAGCTCTGCTGAGGAATTCCCGGCGGGACAAGACCCCCGGTGCCCGCCCGCTCCTGGAGATCTACACGTCCTCAGGGCTGCTCCTGGCCAGCGTCCCGGTGAGCCGGGAGGGGACGGACAGCCCGGGTTTGGGGACAGACAGCCCGGGTTTGGGGACAGATACCCCGGGTTTGGGGACAGACAGCCCGGGTTTGGGGACAGACAGCCCGGGTTTGGGGACAGACAGCCCGGGTTTGGGGAGGGGGGAAGAGGGAGCTGCCCTGGGCTGGAGGAAGAGGATGGGATGGGGTTTGGAGCA